ATTTTACAGCTTTATATCCTCATCGGGGTGGAAATTTATCCCAAGGTTGCATGTCCAGTCCATTCTGACCTCTTTAAAAAACACTGTTAGGATATTCATCTTTGAGAAGACCTTCTAAGCATACAAGAAGGTGGTAAGACAGGAGGGAACTCCCTAATTATGTATTGCAAGTAGGGCTTCTTTCTATTCTTATGCATAGTAGGATCCATCAAGTCCAGTAAATGCCTGATTGCACCTACCATCTTAAGAGGAAAAAGCATTTCATTACTCTGCTATGGTAAAAAGAATTGCAGGAAATTATACCTTCTCTCCCTCTTTTAGGATACAGCTGAAATGTAAAGTTCTATGTGTCTGGCTAGGCTTCCGAGATCTGCATGGTAAAATAGCTCTGTTCATAGCAAAGCTGGGACAAAGTACTCTGTTTTAGGTCAAATTAATGTACTATACTCTTGTACTGTAATGTACTCTTGAAGATTTTATGTATTTCAGGGAATCTTGACTTAATTTTAATGTTATAATTAATATTTAGAAAGCTTGAAGTATTTCAGCGTTAATTTCAACCAGTCTTCCATGCAATAACTTACTGTGAACTTCTTTGTAATAGAACTGATGTAGAATGGCCTTGCTGTTTATTGTCCATTGTTAAGATTTAGGTTCATTAGTAGCTGAATTCATTCTAAGCATTTTCATTAGGCTTTTTTTATTCTTGCTGTTTGCTTTGTGCTCAAGTTAATGCATTTTCTTTTACCCTCTGTCACAGATGAATTATTAAGAGAAGTCATTGTTGTGGGGTTAACTAAAAGAGTTTTATTAATGATTAAATGATGATCAAATGGTAATTAATCAATGATTGAATGAAAATCAAATGGTAATCAAATGGTGATTAAGCAATAATTGAATAGTAATTAAACAGTGATTTAACAATGATTTACATTATCGTTTAAATCATCATTTAAATCATCATTTAGACGGTGATTAGACAATGGTTTAGACAGCGGTCAAACACTCTACTACTTACTGCACTTGTAATAATTAAGCTATAATTGGATATATAAATGTTGCTAGCATACAATATACTCTTAGGCCTAATGTAAAATGTTGCTTACTTCATTATAGATATCAGATGCTGGGTAAGGGGTCTCAACCTCAAGGAGTAACCTTGAGAGGCGTTCCTTCTCAAGGGGGAGATCGCCGCCGTGCAGCCTGCTGCCATACAGGAGAGCTCAGTGGGCTCGGAGTGGGGGGCTACAGATATTTATAGCGTAAAGTGATTGACTCCTAGTCAAACCCCCTTTTGGTGTATGTGCAGTTGTGCAGCTGTAGCAGTTTTAGTTTTGTCTAGTCCCAGCTTGGGCTGATACTGTTAGCTCCTGATAAGACATGGCCTAGACTCCTTGGTTCCTGAGAAGATATGGCCTAGCACAATTCTCAAGGTTTGCACAGCAGGGCTGATTTCAGTCAGGCCTACTTGTCAGTAATGCCTGAACCAAAGTACTGTTCACTCAGAGTGGATGCATCTGTCACACCCTCTCAAATGAGAGATATTCCGTAGAAAATCGCTGTCTAATCTTGGATTGAACTAGTAGTTGATGAGCTTCAGTACCTCATAGCTATTGCCTGTATCCCTGATGCATCATCTGACTTGACTGAGAAGTCCCGCTGTGCTCCAGTGAAAGGTTTTCATATGACCTGATGTCGTGGTTTAACCCTGGCCAGCAACTAAGCACCAACAGACACTGGAGCAGTAATTTTCTTGGATGGATGCCTTTTGGCTATTGTTTTTTCTTGCTGTTCCTGTACTTGAGCTTCTAGTCTCCAGGTAGGTTCACCATCCCACTTCCTCATGTTGTCCTCTCCCTGGTCACACAGGAAGAACCACAGGGTGGCATGTGGTGTGCGCCACTGGTAACCCACTCCCCTGAACACAAAAAAGCTGACTTTTAATAGCCAAGACATTGGTCGATATGGGTGAGGAAGACATATCCTTCTTTAATTGCTGGGACAATTGTTGGTACAGTTTCTCCACAGCTGAGATGCAGGCCCATAGGGAGGAAGCGAGATTCTCTTCGAGTTCTCGGAGATGGCTGGCCAATCTATCCACAATTGGTGCTTCCGTGTGTCTCCAGCTCGTTATTGCCAGGGTGTTGGCATATGACATCAGTGCACTTTGTATAAACTTTTGCCACATGGACCGTGTGCACCAGATTTCATCCGGGTCTTTGGATACCTGGTTGTTATCCAGGTTGCTATAGATCACCTCCACCTCAGCTAATTCCCTCAGATACTGAATACCTCCCTCAATGGTGGTCCACTTGCTTCAGGAATTTGCAAGATCTTCTTTGAAGGGATACCTGTCCTTCACACTTGATAGGAGTCACCTCCAAAGACTGAGGACTCCTGCCCTTTTTCCAGTCCCTTTATCAGTGACCTTATCCCTAGCTAGGGATCCCAGCTGCTGGGCTTCCTTACCCTCTAATTCCTGACTGTTGGCTCCAATATCGCAGCATTGGAGTAACCAGCTGATAATTTTCTCACCTGGTTGACAGCTTCTCATATCTCGCAGCTTACTTAGGGATAGAGATTGGGTGGTTTCTGTCTCGTTTATGATTTCAGTCCATTCCCCCTCCTGTTCTTGTGACTGCTCTGCTGCAGAACAGGCTGCCTCTTCTGATTCT